GGGCCAGATGTTCACCAGTTTTGCCCACAAAAGTTTAAATATGTCACACACCCAGAAACACACATTCTTATAAAGACAAACTTGTTTCCTTTGTGTTCCCCAGAAGCACAGCTGCTTGTATCCACGCCAATCCAGACACACACTTAATTCGATATTAGCACAGACACACTCTCATCACCCAAAACACATGTGCACACATTCATATCCACACAGTCAATAAACTAATAGACAATAAACTAACAGACAATAAACCACTTCATCTGTTGAAAATGCGAACGTTTTCTGGTAGTATGACAAGGATCTGGTCTGGCATACAATTATTAATATGGGGACTCATGCACACACACACACACACACACACACACACACACACACAAACCTGCCAACATAGAGGCCGTGCAATCAATCTTCATGGATGAAATCAGTTTAAAGCAATGACTTTATCAATAACAAAATCTTAATGCGTTCCTGTAACTCAAACAGTAGATCATGCCGCTAGCAACATCAAGGTCTTGGGTTCGATTTTCAGGGAACGCATGAACTGATCAAATGCCTGCTTCGATGCAATGCACATCTCTTTGGATAAAAGCATCTGCCAAATGCATGAATGCAAATATGATCACAGCATTTCCATTTCTCTCAAATGAAGACTCAGTTGTCTGTCAGATGCAACATTTTACAAAGACTTTACAAGGGCTCTGAGTGAAGTTTTGCTGTCTAAACACCATGTGGATTCACTTCAGCTCTCATGCAGATGGAGACAGAGACGCCGTTCTTTAAAGAGGACGTCCCTCCTAAAAATTACGTTTGTCATCACTTTCTCGCCCTCATGTTGCTACAAACCCTTATGACTTTCCTTCTTCACAAAAACGCCATGTTCAGTGGAATGTCTGAGTAGTTTAAAACACTATCAAAAGACTTGCATTATAGTACACACTTGTTTTTATCTTTCAGAGAAGAAAGTCAGTCGTACAGGTTCCTTATTATGACTATAATTACTTGTATTTACTTTCTTCTCTTAAATTTCATTTTATTATATTTATTTGTCTTCTACACTGTATTCTTTCCCTCTTATTGCATATTACGTGCTTTGCACTATTTTCATTTTGCTCTTATTTTAATTGCATGCAATGCTGCAATCGCTTTGCCAAAACAAATGTATAAAATATTTGTCATGCCAATAAAGCAGTGAACTATCCCTTTAAATTATGCATTCACTGACTTCATCTTGCACTGGTTGTGTTAAAGCAAATCCACATGCTATTTATAGAGTAAAACATGTCTTTGTAACATTTAGAAAACTCTGTAAATGCTGCATCTGACAGACGGAGAGGAACGGCAATGGTGTCACAAAAAAGCAAAACAAGGCGAGCTTTAAACGCACTGACTGGCTTGAGTTTCTCTCAGTTCAAAGCACTTTAATCTTCTGGTTTGGCTGCAATCAGACGGGATTTGAGTGGGAGTGTCTCTCTCTCTCTCTCTCTCAGTCTGTGCGCCTGTCTCTCGCCCGCTGGCAGCTGTGAATGTTGGCGAAGCC